AGTATACGACATCTGAAGAATGACAAATCTGCAGGAATAGACAATATTATACTAGAGTTTTTCAAGAAAGTGGAAAATGTGCTTACACCTTACCTACTAGTAATATTTAACATTATGCTCGAAAATGCTACCTTCCCAGAAGCATGGGATAACGGTATAATCACTCCACTGTGTAAGGGTGAGGATCCAAAATTTGCAAATAATTACCTCCGTATCACATTAATTAGTAATTTTAGTAATGTTTCCTTGTTTATCATTAATAAAAGACTTGTTTTCTGGGCTGATTGGAAAGATAAAATTCATGAATCACAAGCGGGCTTTAGAGAGGGTTACTCACTCCACGACTGATAATATGGTCATTCTCCAAAGCCTTGTAAGCCGTCATAAAGCTGGAATATTGCTGAGTGCGGCGAAAGACTAAACTCACTCACTCCCAAAGCCTTGTACGTAAAGGTGGTAGATTTTATGTTTTATTTGTAGATTTTGCCTATGCATTCGACTCAGTTGATAGGAAAAAATTATGGAAGTACTCGCCCAGCACGGATAAAGAGAGTTCGACTAGGTGAGGTGATGAAGGTAATGTCAAGATGAGGATATGCATGACCATGTCAGATGATACAAACTAACAAGTGCCGCAAATTGATCTCAGATGGCACCAGTGGACGATACTAGACTACATGGCGTTGTGCATCAATGGAAATCATATTTCACTTCACTGTGTGGCAATCAACACATTTGTAGAAGGTGCATTCATTAGAACCTCTGCAGCATCGAACCAAGCAAAGCTTATAGCGTGATTACAAAAGTACAATTACTCCAGATTTGTGATTTGGGCAATCATTGGATTACTCCAAGCACGCTACTCTTCTGACCATCATCTGTGCATCCGGCTTCACCAACACTGACTGAGTCACTCAAAATAGAATTCAATATCGGGCGACTCTCGAACTTCCTTTGAAGGCCTTTGAAACAAAGGCTATGTAACAGCTCAAATTGGCACGTTGCTCTTCTGCGGATTACAAATCATTGTATATGAAGGGTCGTGATTGGAGACGACGTGTGAAATATGGTGGCATTTGTTTTGGTGTTGTCATCCAATCCGACACTCACATTCCTTGGAAGGCGGGATTTGAAAAACAAACCTCTGTCAGCCACGTCTGCAACTGAGGTGAACAGGTAACCCAGATATAAGACGATATGTTAAATCGGTTTCCCTCTGATTAAACGCACGGATCCGCCTACAGAAGAGTAATAAGAGTCTACACAATGTTTGTTTCACAGACGAAGCTGATCATAAATCAGTAGACGACCAGTACAGAAAGTCCTGCTTCTTACAATGCATGCCTTCACGGACAAAGAGGCTGTTACTAAAGCACAAATTGTTGCAGGACAAATGGTCTTAAATGACAAGGCAAGACGCTTTATCATGTCTTGCTCAACATCAAAGCCTCATGCTCATCTGCATATCTGAGAGGAGAAAAACAAAGTCAAAAGTTGAAATATTTTGAATTCCAAACCGTTGTTCTATGTTTATGTAACATCTCAGTGATAATGGTGGTGTTGAATCTGTGTATACCCCAGCAATTCATTGGGTTCAACAGCTTTAATGGCAGATACTTCAAACGGCTTCAATGGCTAGGGCTATTTGAAAAACCTCAATAGCTCCACGCCTCACATTCTATGGCTACTTCAACAACTTCAGTGTCTCAAAGGCTATGGCTACTATAACACCTTCAATGATTATGGATATTCCAACGACTTCAGTAGCTGCGGATAGTCCCACAACTAACACATTAATCGCTACAACGGCTTATTTGTTCAGCACACAGAGTTAAGCAATATGTTTGTTGGCCGAGAGCTTAAGTACAGTATGTTGAAGTGTTGCAAATATTTCCTAAAAACGTTTCAAAGCAATGTTTTAGTGCAAACCCCTGAGGATAGATAACATCTACCTCTATGAGCCATTGAACGTTTGGTTTGGTTTGGTTTGGATGTTGTCTAACACCGCACTCAGCAATATTCCAGCACTATACTACAGGCTTCGAATATTGAATGAATGAGTTTAGTTTTACGCCGCACTCAGCAGTATTCCACCTAAATAGCGGCGGTCTCAAAATACTGGAGTCTAAACCAGACAATCCAGTGATCAACAATATGAGCATCGATCTACGCAAGTGGGATACGATGGCATGTGTCAACCAAGTCACCGAGCCTGACCACCCGATCAGTTAGTCGCATCTTACGATGAGCATGCCTTGCTGAAGACCACTTCCAACACGTGTCTTCACGAATTATCCATTGAAAGAAAATAATCACTTGGGTACAAATTTAAAGGATAAACTGCCATCATCTGCATCCTTTTAAACACCGTCTAGTGACTGAAATATAATGTTCAGAGTTTGATATGGTGATACTTCTGTTTATTATATACTCATGCCAATAATGGTTGTCACCCCCCACCAACCCCCACCCCAACCCACATACCCTCTCCAAAAAAAAGAAATTGAAGGGAGTGACAACCATTATTGGCATGAGTATATTTGAATAACAGAACTTAACACCCAATTCATATTTCTTTTAGTTAATGCATTCATTTTCTTTGTACAAAACGGATCTGAAGTTTGCTAGGACTGTTTACTAATGTGTCAGCACTATTCCATAATACGACCCCTGTATCTATTGTCAAACTAACTGAGGCACTGTAAAGCTTCAGATATTTGTCACGTGCAGCTATCCACAGCTGTTTTCATGACTTCAAACATTAAAGCTCCTAAAACATGCAAAACCAAGAAAGCATTTTGAGCATTGAGTTGTTTGCTGCTTTCAAACTTATTTCATATTGTCTCTATGAATCAGAACCCTCGTCATTTTGGTTATTCTTAACACCAACAACATATAAAGTCTTATAATTAGCAGAAGAGATGCACACGATGATATCAGTGACTATGGTTCCGTAATGAATGAGCAGGCTCTGGTGGGAACGAGTTGCTGTCGATTCATCAGCCCAGACTGAATTATGTGCTTCGCAGAAACCACAAGAACGCCACTTACCGTCGAACGTAATTCACAGCTACTTGGCTCAAGCGCAGACTTGGATTTGAAACCAAAATTAGGATCGGAGATCCTTCTTATCGTGCAACAAATAACAACGCCAGGATTATCGGGAAGAAAATTGATTGATGCTGGTCTGCAGACACCACAGATTTGACGGAATACAATGTACAGTGACTATCCATCTTTGTCTGCTTCATCAATGGTCTTCAAATCTTGATATAGATCAGTCAATTTGTTCATCGTCATCTACAACCATACTGTATGTAATCCAGACAGACTCATGGCCGGAAGTCGCAGAAGGGGACAGACAAGCCAACCGGAAGTTTACTTTATGTCTGCTCATTTGTAAGGACGGTTCAATTAAGACGATTCACTCTCCATCTCCTCACTCTTCTACGAAACTGACAATGTTTCCATTTATTGTTTTTATTTATGCAGAAGAAATAGAGATCACCACAAGCAACTATTGACTTACTCAGCCACCTTTGATTTCCAGGACCTAGGGCAATGATCATGCAGCAACCATTGTGCTTCCAATCGTATAATCAGGCATGGAACCGGATAAGAGCCAAAAGAACCTTGACGCTCCGATCACGCACTTCTTTCAAAAACCACTGTACCTTCTTGACATGACTAAAATCATTTATCCGCACGTAGTGCATACTGAAGTGAAGACAAGACCATCTGCCAGTTAATTATGGCTCTATTTCATTCCTTAACAGTATTTTAATACTTCGTTGCTGAAAAGTACCAGAAAAGACAATCACATTGCTGTCGTAACTGGGGAGTTGACAAGTATATAAAGTGAAGGAGCGCCGAAACACTTCCAATGTAGAATTCAAACAGACAGTCGTATGCTCGAATAATCGATAAAGACGTCATACACATTTTGAAGTTATTCTTGTGAATCAAATGTTATAAATATTGTAAGCCAATTTGTCATTGCTTCAGCAACATTTCACGTCTATCATTGACATCTTTCTGCGACCGCGAACAGTTTGTGTCTCACGTTTCTTATATGTTTATGGTGAAATGTAAATTTTCTGTCTCACAAAGTGTAACAACAACACAGAAAGGCCAGAACTCATTTTCAGGTTCCTCACTTTCTTTCTGAAGGGTGCTTATCTCTGCACAAACACCTTGCATCAAAACGTTTTGATAGAAACATGTTGATGATTTAGTTGGAATTATACATTGGACTCAGATGTTATTTCGGATTTCTTATGATCATAGGTGATCAAAGATACTCGTAGTGTCATAATCGTATGGTTTTGTTAATTTAATTGACATGGTTCAGGAACTGGGCATACCCATTTTCAGAGATGATGTACTATACCCATGGTTTTGACAACACAGGGCTCTAGAATTACTTCACAAAGTCCCTACGACTAAACCACGTTTGCTCAAATATCCTGATAAACGTACCGTCGTTGGTTTAGAAGTAGATTGAACAAAGGTAAAGGGGCATATGAATTTATGATGATGATTAGATGACGTTTATTTCCGTCATACAATTATACAGTGCGTAGATCCCGTTCCCGACAAATAACGAAACCTAAATAGTTTACGTCTTTCTAATGTCCATGTTTATATGCTGCATACTATAACTGCAAAGACCCTGGTCTGTACAATAATATCAGCGAGATTCAGTCAAAACACCTCAATCTCTTCAATCCAGTAGTGTCAACTTCCATTTTATGACATAAGAGACACACCAGTGAATGATTTTAATCAAACCTTTACAGTTTTATAACAAACAGCAGATTCCGTAAAAGATGCAATGACAATATTTGCTCCATTTAATGGCATTTCATAATACCAAGCAGCTTCGGCCACCGATCAACATTTCATTTGCCCTCGACCCAGGTATCGATTCCTCGGCAACTCCCCACAACTATTACAAATTTCACAAATATTTTATTACTTTTTCAACCTTTGCAATTTCCAGTATTTTTGCTTTGTAATATACGGGAATCACCAGTCATTATCAGGCTCAGTAATGTCCAAAGAGAGCCATGGACAAAGATCATTAGAAACATATCATGTCCATCCAGAAATGAAGACTGTCAGGGCCGTTATTCTTTGTTGCGTCAGGCGGTCGTGGCTTAAGTTCTCATAGAGTTTGTTAGAAGCAAACACCTACAAGACTATAATCCTATAGGATGCAATTACGGGAGTGAGTGATTGAGTTTAGATTCCAGCAATATCACGACGGGGACACCAGAAATGGACGTCACACATTGTACCCATGTGCGGAATCGAACCCGGGTCTTCAGCGTTTAACCACTAGGCTACCCCACCGCCCTGCAATTACGGGAAAAATACATTCCAAAAATTGAAGATTTTCAGGAACGTCATTCTATGAATGTCAGCATGTGTGTCAGCAATCCAGGGGTTCTGGGATATGAGATAGTGTCATACACGCGAAACGTGTCTCATACCAAAGCGGGGATAGATGAAAAGACAAGAATGGACAACATACAGAGTTTGAGACATATATTTCGACAGACGTAATACAACCATATGAAGGCAGTGTTAAAGATTTAATATCAACAATATCAAAGATTATTCTACTGAATTATTATTATTCGTCAATAATGATCAGCAAATTCATGTTCAGTGAAACTGTCTAAATACTCCGAATAATGTTTGTTGCTTGTGTAAAGGGCGGTTGTTGCTTCAGTCGGTATTACAGTGTCTTTGTACCCCTGATATGTTTGATTTCCACTACCGAGTGGAACCCAGCGTGAACTTTTAGAGAAATATGGAGACTCCCCAAAACTGCAGCCTTCTGCATTACCCAGAGTGTCAGAATGAAGTGTGCTCCGGTGGCACTCTTGGCCTGCGGTATGAGATCAAGAGGTACCAAACCACGGCACCGAGGACAAAGGGTACTTGGTATTTGGGACGTAAGTGTGACACAGGGGGTCAGCATATCTGCCATGTTTTTTCTGAGTCTCGTAAATCACATTAGTGTCAACAAGAACAGAAAAGGCAGTGATTTTAGTCACATCGGCAGTATTTCAGCCATATCGTGACTATTTCCCCAAACGACAAGGTCATGTCTGTTGGCCTAGATTTCAAGTAATTTTAGAATTATCATTTTACCTATATAATGATCGAGTGACACCACCATGTAGCTTACGATATTGTGTTGCAAGCGCTGGCCATCGACTGACACGCCTTTTGGGACAGTCTCGTTACGATCAGTACATAATCTACAGAAAGCCTTCTTTTTCATTTTTCAGGCCAGCCGATATTATGCAAACAAAGGACTCTAGAGGGCTGCTCTTCCTCATAAGCTCGATGCATTGGTCGTTCAGAGAACCATCCCTTGAAAACCGGGCTTCTGCCGACTGGTATGGAATTCCGCTTGGCTGACACACTTTTCCGTTCAGTCCAGCGATACGGAACCAAAATCAACGTTGATACTGCAATTTTGTCGTACATCATTGGTTCGTTTAAGAAAATTCTTGCGTGTGTTTTTTTTATTATGAGTTTTGACACGTTTTAGAAGAGAATCGTCAGACAAACACATGTTTGCAAAAGTGGACGATAAAAATAAGAGCCTACACGTTTACAAGAAGAGCCTACACGTTTACATGAAGAGCCTACACGTTTACATGAAGAGCCTACACGTTTACATGAAGAGCCCACACGTTTACATGAAGAGCCCACACGTTTACATGAAGAGCCTACACGTTTCTGAAAACACAATATATTTAAAATAGCTTGCATTGGGTGTGCATTTCTTCGTTTTGCTCATTGAGATGGGCCGTAGCGAGCAGATTCCTGAACGCTCACGAAACTTTTGTCCAGTTTATCGCAAAACACAAATTGCAGAATTTAAGTTATGACATCATAAGACACAATGCTTCTGTATTAATTTATTCATGCTATGAGATTCACACGTTTCCCAGGAATGCGGAAGTACTCCGTCAGTGTTTACATTATATATAAAACATATGCCAACAAAATGTGTGGTTCATACACTTATGGCACTTGTCGAATGGAAAAGTGTACATCGTGTAAACATCACTTTAAAATCATTGCCAATCTTGGAGGAGGCATTTCAAATGCCCTTTGGAGTATTTTTACCCGCAGCTGTTTATCAACAATACACTTTCACGTGTTTGAAGTTGATCGGTTCTCCAAAACTTAATCCAAGAAACCCCACAGCTCTGGAGAAAGCAGATGAGTGCTTCTTGAGACGTGCCTTCCATTATCGGAGCTAAGTCTCAACTCGTCACAAGTCCATCCCGATATATCATCGAACATTTCAAATACATCATTACGTTTTCACCCGATGATGTTTTTCGTTAAACAAATGAAGATTGATATCCAGACTTAGACTGGGATTCCGTCTTAACTAGGAGTGTTTATTCAACACGAGTGGATTGGTCATAATGGACAGCCCTCACCCCAGACATCTCGTCTCCGGTGGGTCCCAGGGGGGCCTGTATATAACAAGACCTTCATGTAATCGATGGGGCCCAACGGTCAATCCATGTACATCCACGTCCTGTAGGAATCTCCTGACACACAGATCAAATTGATTAAAAAAACATAAAAGACTCTGATCATTCCTTATACATAAATGTGCTTTTAATTCGATCGCTTTTACCAACACGTAGAAGCCAATTGTGCCATATTTCTCTTTAAGAAACACTAACAATATAAGTTCAAAAATGATTAAAGGGGTTAGACGGCCAAAGAACGCTGGTGTTAAAATGTAAAAAGTGTGTATAATAGGTTTTCCTCTTAACGCATGTCTGATTTTCGTTTTTGTAACAGAAAAGTAAATTTCATTAGTTTTCTTTCCGGACTTTCTGATGTACGAATTTAAAAAAACGCATTTGGTAACAGTAATTGAAAAAATTCCCATTGAGAGTGTAGCAAGAGTATTGCGTTACTGGTACTGAATTGCTGGGGAAACGAAAACACGCAGATACATCGCAGTATTTGTAAAGCTCATTGACGCGAGGCACAGACAAACACAGCCGATCTGACATTGATTGGCTTATTTAATGGCTGATCTGGCGGGAAAGTGTAGCAACAGGGTTCCCGCGAGACTGCGCAGTGGATGGTGGAGTAAACACTGGACAAGCGGTTGTGGCGGCCCGTCAAATCAACATCCTCATCAACTGCAGCGGCAGCGATAGAGGATATTGTTGTTTTGCATGTAGCCTGTTGGGTTCATTTTGCAAGGTTCATACTTACCAATAGAGAGATGATCAGTATATTTCATGGTTGTCTAAAGTAACAAGATCGTCTCTGTCGTGTTGCGCGTGTCTTCGCCGATACTTGTTGATACATGAATGAAAGGTTTGGATAGCCAAAGAACCTGGAAAAGTGATTTGTTGAACATAGGCATTTTTTTTTCATTTAGATACATTCTGATGGTTGAGCAAATTCTCACACACTCACTCACTCACTCATTCCGTGCGCAGAATGCAAATAGACGCAATGCAATAGACATGAAACTATATATGTATATTTCCCATCATGAGTAGTCGTGTGTAAGTGAGTGATTGTGGTTTTGTTCCACCCTAAATGGTCATCACACATTTCTTCCATGCACTGAGTGGGACCAAGGTTTTAGGAATGCCAGGTTGATAAAGTTCTGTTTTATAAACGCTTTCTTTGATCAACACCTTTCCAGTATTGTTCTTGACAGTTACAAGCTGGTCTTTAAATGATGCCCGTTATCCCCTGACTCAGATCTAAGATAGCTGTGGATTCAGTCAATGGTGTAATGCCTCTCCTTGGAAGGATAATTAGGGATTCCTTTGAATTGGCCACTTTGTGATCTTAATCACAATGCAATGCCCGTTTACTTCCTGCTAAATCATAACACTTCCTCCTTCTGTGGCCAAGAACACGGACTCATGACGCCAGATTTTCTGTGCTACAATCGTATTGTTTTTAACGTTTAAGAGCTAAGGATTTTTAAAATTTTCTTTTGCCTATTAATTTATTTTTTCAAAGATGCTTTGACACTTTGAATTAATTCTATGAAAATGATTGGACATGTTTTTTTAGCCATTGTTTTCTTTCTGTAGCATAATTTGCTGCATAGATATGTATAAAAAGTATTCGAAAAGTTTGAAAGTATGAAACTTCAAAGACAGACAGACAGAGTTTATTTCCAGTAAAAGGACGTAGGCCCAAAATACATTCAAAAGGAAATTCCAGTGTAGTCAGGGGCACAATGATCATTCAAGTTTATTTGTAATAATCCTTTTAACTTAGTATGGAACTTCAAAGATCAATACATGTTTGCTAAACAATGTGCTCATCAAATCAGGATGGATGATGACCTGATTGGTTCTAAGAAGTGAAACCTGTTTTCTGAAATATCTGAAATCCGTCAGTTGAGACATTATAGTAACATCTCTTGATTTGGTATTACTCGCCAAAATGTATGCATTGACAAGAAAAACAAGTAATTATCATTCATAGCATAACATTTCATTTTTTGATTGTTTTTTTTGACATGCGTAACAACTGCTGGTGGGTTTTCGTATTTATTTCATTAAGTACTGGAGATACATACACAAACCTGTTTTTGCACTTGACAGGGCTGCAAACACAAGCTCACTGCATTGTCGGTGGGGTAGCCTAATCGTTATAGTGAATGACTTAATATTTAACGTCATATCGGCAATGTTTCAGCCATATCGTGACGAGAACAATTTTGACGTTGATTAAGAATATGTGAAATATTATAAAACCTGTCATCAAAGACAGTAAAGCATCTAAACAATCACAGTTTGAATTTAAAACTAGCAGGTGAAGTTAAAATTAATGACACAATTTGGACAATACATAATATAATTAGGCTATAGATCGCCAACAACTGAAGGTAGATCACCATGCTAGAGACCATGGGGACTTATAGTATGACCAGAAATTATTGAGAATTTTAGGAATATGTTTATTTGGATTTCTAGTAT